AATTAGTAATTATCGTTTTACTAGTAGGATAATTTTCATACTCTGGCATAGAGAATTCTCTCTCTCTATTAGAAGGATTTTTGACAATATTAATTCCTAAACAATAAGTATTGCGACAATTTAATCTGAAACTCTTATTTCAATAGACTATTCGTTGAACTTTTGTTGTTGTTGTTGTAGTTTTTGTCGCTAACATTAAGAATTGAATAAGGAATTCTTAAATTTGACAAAAATAATTTTATCACACAATAACCAAAAATTTTCACAAATAGTTCTAGTTTTAACAAACTATAACTTAATAAATTGCAAAATGATGTAGTTTTCAACATTTTTAACAATAGTGACTATTTTTTTAGATTTCAAGTTGATTCAAGTGGACGCATTATTATCTTGCTTTTATTATAAATATTCATCATTAATTTTATGATTAAAGACCGAAACTAAGAAAAAAAAAATTCATGGAATAATGTCAAAAAAATTGTTCAGTAACCAAAGTGTTAAACACAAAGATCATTTTTGTTATTATACAACTTTTGGTTCTTTTAATTTATTTAATCAGAAGTCCTCTTTTCTTTTTTTTAATAAAATGTTTGAGATGATATATTGTTGGGATCCTAGCCATCCGATCATATTACCGGTCGGTCGGGGCTTTGACTAGTCAATGACTCAACTCGTGCAACACGTGCCACTGCTTTGGTGGGGAAAGCTTAGGTGGCAGACGTTGAGAGGGCATTGACACGTGGCGCTCACTGAGACACTTGAAGTAGTGTGATGTGGTGAGGTATCTTGACGACGGAGTGTGATTTTGGTGACGTGGCAATGAAAGAGCTTATAGGTCTTTTTAGACTTTGAAATCCCGGGTTTTTTGGGGATAAGATAAGGTGCAAAACTTTCCGTGTGGACGCCTTGGTTCATAGATTCAGAATTATAATTCAGAATTATTTTTATTTTATGTGTATTTTTTATAAGAAAAAATATTATAACGAATCATGAATCATAATTCAAATTATGACACGAATCTCATTTTTAAACGTTCCCATCATCTTCATGACCGCTTTTGATAAAATGTCTCAATTCTCAAGAAAATAGAAACTACAAGGAGAAATTTTCTTGTTTATCCCCTAAAAAGAAAATTCCTTGTTTATCCTTTCAGAACTTGTAGTTAATAGTTAGCATATTGAAATTTCCATTATATATTTTAAAATTTATTATTGTTGGATAAGTACTACTTTTATAACTCATTTGAAGAAAGTTTTTTTTCTTTTCTTTTCTTTTTCTTTATGTATAAAAAAAGATGGGTTATTTACCTCCAGTACATTTACTTATCCTACTTTGGCTCACGATATTCATTTTTAGTTATCCTATATTTTTAAAGTACATAATTCTTAATCCTTCAGTTAGTAAATAATCAATTTTCAGCAAAATATAGATAAGTATTATGGGATAATCGAAACTCAAATAACGTAAAACTTTAATGATTAATTATGGGACGTTTTAAAAGTTAAGAATTAAAATCTGATTGAGAATGAATTTTATAGACTATTTGTGTTGACGTGATAATCTTTAAAATAATTATCAATAAAAAAATGACAATTCATATATTACGTAAATTATATAAAAATAATTAGAATTAAAGTTGATGTTTCTAACGTTATTATATATATAATATATAAATATTAAATACACTCGTATAAAGCATTACTTAAATCTGAGGTCCCACGACATCAACGGTTGAGATCTTGCCTTTTAAGAGTGTGATTAGCACTCCCAGTAGATTCAGCCTCTTATCTTTTGAAATCAAAACTTATGTACGTCAAACCTAAATAGCTGCTATATATGATCGTCAAAGATTAAAAAGTCAAAGCTCATCAAACAATCCACGCCATACAAAATTCTAAACTAAATTTACTGGTATGAAGTTTGGCAAAATTGTCATTTTCTATTTTTCTCCAAATAACCTTTTAAACAAGAGAGAGAATATATATATATAAAAAAAAAAAGATGGTTATTTTCAGAGGATCCAAAAAGATAAAGCAACGTGCAATTATTTCCATCACAATTAAACAGTCACGTCCATACTTCTAATTCTCACTCCATATGACCTACTACAACCATCCATCGTCATGATGCTTCTAATTATTGTTCTTATCATAATTATTTACTACAATAAATATTTAAATTTCACAAAAAATATAAACCAAACAAAAATAAGAAAAAAAAAACATATTTTTCAATGTTGATCAAGCAGAAAACAATATACGTATTATAGAGACGAATAGATGGGCTAAACACGTGTATATAGTACTTCCTTAATAAGCTAATATATTTTTCTTGCTGAAATATATGACTTCTTTTTTTTTTCTTGCATTCATATGACTTCTTTTATTATTATTATTATTATTATTATTTTCTTTTATTACTGAAATATATGACTTCTTTCACTATCGACCCCCCTTGAGACTTTCGCAACAATTATTGGTGTAATTTTAGATAAGTGTGTACGTTTTCAATCCGCTTCTAGGTCTTAGTTAGGTTAACATAGATTTGTTTTCAATTCCAATTTCAAACTTCTTTACTACCCAGTTTTCTAATTATTTAAATAAAAATATGTTATTCATTACCACTTCTAGCTAGTTGACAAACGTTAGTTATTGGTCTATTTCTCGTATAACCTTTATAGCCTTAATTGTAACACATTTTGGTTGGGTCGTTTTTACGTTCAAATTTTTAGCCTAATTTCTACCAATCCTGTTCACATTACTTCTAAACCATGACCTTTAAGCCATACGCATGAATGATACCATTTTAATATCTAAGTTCTAACGACTCATTTTATGGGTGAAAATGGTTATATATATATAGATAAAATAGTACATGGAAAAAATCGTCTTCAATAATTGGTTAGAATTTTCTACTTGAATTAGTGAACATGGAGTCGAGATGTGTGGTCTTAACTCAGGAGAGAAATCGTGCGCATCTCGAATGGCAACATATAAAATTGATTTTTTCTCTTTTATTTATTTATTTTTTTGATTATTTTCTATTAAGATATAAAATACCTTATTGGTAAGATAATGTTCTCAATTGTCAAATAATAAAGATATATCAAATGAAGAAAGTGTAAGAATTTAATGGAACTTGATTAGTATTTAACTGTTAAAAAATGTATCATACCAGTAGAGTGTTTTTACATGATATATTTTTTTTAAAGGCGAACTTATATAAACAAAAATAAAAAGAACAACTACCAAAGAGAAAAAAAAAATAAAATACCTAACCCACATAACGGTTAAAGACACGGAAGGTAAAAAAAAAATTAAAATTTATATATGTATACAAGTAAAATTATTCGGCTCCGTAAAGTTCTACTCACATAACACAAACACGAGTCATAGACATATGCGTGGACCCGCTCATACATCATAAGAGCCCCGAATCCCGGAAGCATTAATGTATGTATAATGTAAATGTGTGTATGAATGTGTTGTGTGATGTCTTACAAATAGTGGGAAGATTAGAATGGGTGTGAAAAATACTTGCTAGGAGCTAGCAATGGGCACCAATTATACAACCAAAGCAAAGTAACTACGTCAAGGCATCGGACACTTTCACTCCCATTCGTACACGTGTCAAATTATCAAGTGTGGCAGCCAGCTGGCATGGTCCCACTTAGATTCTTGAACAAGGAAAAAACTTCCCTCCAATTATTACCGTACACAACTGCGCATACTATTATTCTCTCTCTCGTTTTCCCTCGGTTCAATTTCTCGCGAAACATTGACCCAAAATATCAAGCGATTAATTATTGTTACCGGGAAATGCAAGTTACCTCATAACAAATTAGGGAAGTGGCTGCCGGTGTATTTCAGGACACCCGTGGTACAAGCGCGCGCCTGTAGGGAGTACTTACTGCGGTTTTACCGGGTATTGCCGGTTAAAAAATAAATTTTTTTTTTGGCTGAATTTTCCTATCTTATATTAAAAATAGTTTTCTAATTGGCTTTGAACACCTTGAGAAGGTATATTCTGAATGGATTAATATTAATTTATTCTGCTTTTCCTTGCACGCAAGAACCCTAGGCTTGTGCACTGTTGCCCACATTCTCCAAAGAGGAAGACGATTTTAAATTGCTTGAGCTTGCAAAAGTCAGAAAAAAGTAAAATTTCAGAGGGTGTGGCTGAAACTGAGGCTACTCGACAAGTAATATGATGACACGTGGTTGTTTAGATTTTTTTTGAATTTTTTTTAATGCATACAGTGAGAAAATTTTTTTAGACAACATCGATTTGCATAAGCGTCTTTACGGTTAAAATCCATTTCTCCTGTAATTCTTTATCTGACATCTATTTATTTGAAAATATAACTACATTTTGACAAATGGTAAAGACAAATGTTTAAGTTGTCTTGTAAGTAAAAGAAGCAGTTGTTACTGGGCATTGATCTCTTTACATATTATAAAAATAAATAAATAAGAGCACGTTTATTTTACGGGTTTAAATTGATAAGTTAAATTTATAGATAAATTTATATGAGAGAAAATATAAAATGTTAAATTTAAATTTTTATAAAAAAAAATATTGTAACAAAAAATTTAAATTGTGATTCAAATTGTAAAGTGAACGAGGCCTAATAATCACCCTTTTTGTTTAATTTCTAACATGAGAAATGAATGTGAGAAATGAAAAAAGAAGTAATTTGACCTGATCTTGAATGCATGGAAACTCCATGTTTCTATGTGTCACAAAAGCATGTTCTTAAAAGGAAAACAGAAATGATACCAATTTGTGCCAAAGTGTGCGTTTTTCCACCAATGCCCCTTCATTCCATTGTTGGTTTTACTTTCTCATCCCTATCGGTCGAGCACAGCCACCTTCGCTTGTGGCTCTATATAAACCGACTTCTCTCTTTTCTTTTTCCCCCACACCTAAACCATCTCCACTTCTCTCTTCTCACAACAAGACCTCATTCTCTCTCTCTCTCTCTCTCTCTCTCTCTCTCCCCCCCTCTTCTCTTTCTCTCTCTAAAACCAAAAAAAAAACAAAACAAAAGCAAGAAACAAACAATTAGCCATGCCTGAGGCTCCAAAGACCTCGTCCAAATTACCTGAAAACTACAACTACAATCTACAAGAGAAGAACGCCAAGGCCCTGGAGTTCATAGAAGACGTGACGGCAAACGCTGATGAAGTCCAAAAGCGTGTCCTCGCTGAGATCCTCTCAAGCAATGCCAACGTTGAGTACTTGAAGCGTCACGGCCTTAACGGCCACACTGACCGTGACACCTTCAAGAAGCTCATTCCCGTGATCACCTACGAAGATATCCAACCAGATATCGACCGTATAGCGAAGGGTGACACCTCACAAATCCTCTGCTCCAAGCCTATTTCCGAGTTTTTGACTAGGTCGGTACTCGTAAAAAGTCCTTATTACATTGGATTCATAATCTTATTACTTATTTTCCGAGACGTTATTAGTAAAAAAAAAAAATCATGTTACATGTTATTTATTTAGATGGTTTTGGCTAATGGGTTGTTTTTGTTGTTTTTTTTGGTTTTTTGGCAGCTCTGGGACATCAGGAGGTGAGAGAAAATTGATGCCAACAATTGAGGAAGAAATGGGGAGGAGATCACTGCTCTATAGCCTATTAATGCCGGTGATGAGCCAATTTGTCCCTGGCTTAGAGAAAGGCAAAGGAATGTACTTTTTGTTCATAAAATCCGAGGCCAAAACACCTGGAGGCCTGGTGGCTCGTCCGGTCCTAACTGCCTATTACAAAAGTAGCCACTTCAGGGACAGACCCTATGACCCTTACACAAACTACACAAGCCCAAATGAGGCCATTCTCTGCCCTGACTCGTACCAAAGCATGTACTCCCAACTCCTCTGCGGCCTTTGCCAAAACAAGGAAGTCCTCCGGGTCGGGGCGGTTTTCGCCTCCGGTTTTATCCGCGCGATCCGGTTCCTCGAAAAGCACTGGCGCGTCCTTTGCAACGACATCCGGACCGGGACCCTCAACCCTCAAATAACCGACCCTGCGGTTCGCGATGCGGTCGGGAAAATCCTCCAACCCGACCCTAAGCTGGCCGATTTTATAGAGTCGGAGTGCTCGAAGGAGTCGTGGCAGGGGATCATAACCAGGCTGTGGCCTAACACAAAATATGTGGATGTCATTGTGACCGGGACAATGTCACAGTATATCCCGACGCTTGATTACTACAGCAATGGGCTCCCTCTGGTCTGCACCATGTACGCTTCTTCGGAGTGCTATTTTGGTGTCAATCTTAACCCTCTCTACAAGCCCAGCGAGGTTTCCTACACCCTCATCCCCACCATGGCCTACTTTGAATTCCTGCCTGTCAACAGATCAAACAATTCCATCAATGGGGTCACCAACAATTCTAAGGAACATCTCGAGCCCGTCAATTTGGCTGATGTCAAGCTTGGCCAGGAATATGAACTCGTTGTCACAACCTATGCTGGTAAATAGTTTTAGCCCGGAACTACGAATTTTTTTTTTTTTTTTAATGAAAAAACCGCACTGAACCGTATCTTTATTTTACCATTATCTAGCGTCTGAAAAAGCATCCGACCATCCCACCGGATTTGATTGGTTGTATCATAGAAGCCTTTAACACAAAGCCGATTTTTTTTTAACCTGTTGAAAATTAACGGCTCGTCTTGTCACATCATTTGGTATTAAAAACTAAAATAGTGTACATAGAATATTTTTTTTTGAAAAAAAAAAAAGAAATTATGGGTTTTGTTTAATTGGTCTTCACGTGAAATGGGTTGTGGTTATTTTTTTTTTATTTTTATTTTTTTTGTTTAGGACTTTACCGGTATAGAGTTGGAGATGTGCTAAGAGTGGCAGGGTTCAAGAACAAAGCGCCACAATTCAGCTTCATATGCCGAAAAAATGTGGTCCTGAGCATAGACTCCGACAAGACCGACGAAGTCGAGCTCCAAAACGCCGTCAAGAACGCCGTCAACCACTTGGTTCCTTTCGACGCCAATGTCTCCGAATACACGAGCTATGCCAACACCACAACGATCCCGGGCCACTATGTGCTCTACTGGGAGATGAGTCTCAAGGGCTCAACTCCAATTCCTCCTTCAGTGTTTGAGGATTGTTGTTTGACGATTGAAGAGTCACTTAACAGCGTTTATCGCCAAGGACGTGTGTCGGACAAATCGATCGGGCCATTGGAAATCAAGATTGTTGAGGCTGGGACGTTTGATAAGCTTATGGATTATGCCATAAGCCTAGGTGCGTCAATTAATCAGTACAAGACCCCACGGTGTGTGAAATTTGCACCCATTGTTGAGCTCTTGAACTCAAGGGTTGTGACCGAATATTTCAGTCCCAAGTGCCCAAAATGGGTTCCGGGGCACAAAAAGTGGTGCAACCATGATTGAAAACTCGGAAAGGGGTAAAAATGAGAAGAAAAATATTGAATGCCGTCATGAATATGTGGTAGGTTCTTGTGGTTCTAGAAAAAAAAAAGTTGATCCTTTCATGGAGGTGTAGAAGAACTGTTTTTGTGATGATCTTCTTAGGGAAGCCAAAAAAAAAAAAAAAAAAGGTTAATCATTTTAGGTTAACACCAATGTTTTTCATGTTCACCACCACCCCTCTTTAATCTCCTTTTAAAAAAAAAAAAAATTTAGCTGTTTGTTTATTATGCATAGTGACTTTGAATTAGTCCACCCCATGTACAAAAACAGTTCCACTTTCATGGAAGCTTTTCTTTTGCAGCTCTTTTTTTTTAAAATTATTTTTTTTATAGTTTTTTGCCTTTTTATATTTTCTATTAGTTTAGCTGTTCTTTTCTTGTAATAATATCATCACGTTTTATGGGAATTTGATTCTTAAGCCTCATAGACTTCTTTACTAAAACGGCAACAAGAAAGCCTTTCCCTTATGAACTCCTTTCTTTTTCTATGATTTTTCAAGAAAAGGACACAAACTTTTTCCCATCGTATAGTAAATGAGATAGCGAAGAATAATTAACAATCCTACTTATAAATTAATCATTTTGTTTCATGACTTGTCTATACCAGGCATATTCATTATCTAGTGGTCCAAAAATAAAATAGAACCTCACTTACCATGCTATAATGACAAAGTCAAAGACGCATTAGAGAAAAAATAAATGTTATCAACTTTGTGAAGTAATAGCTCTTTACAAACCCACCAAATTAAACAAAGTCGTGCACTTTTTAGCGATACCAAAATTTTGGGACCACATCTTATGCAAACTAGGTTTGTTCTATAGGGAGAGTAAGTAGCAATATTATTCAATTCAATTGCTTAAGAGATAGTAGTAATTTAAGTGATTTAGTAGGTTCCCATTTAACTTGTGAGCTCATTTTAAAAAAATAGAAAAATTGTCTGGTGGGCACATAAATAATGAAGTACTAAAAAAGAAACTGTTAAATCTGTATCATAAATTATTTTGTTCTGTATACTTTTATTATATGATATGATTTTTATTAGATAAATGGTTACTAGAGAGACCCTTAAAAATAACTATATCTAAATTTGTGATTTTACCTCTACCAATCTCAAATTCATGCTTTGTATGTCCATGATATGGGCGCAAGCAGTCAAAAGAGAAGAAATGGTTCAGAGTTAAAAGGCTTTTGTTTTGGAGTGCTATAATAAGGGACAGATGAGGTAGAATCAGAAATTGTTCCCTCTTTTGCCCCTCTCTGAGCTGACAAAACAAAAACAGTTTTTGATTTCAGTAAAGCAAAAAAAAAAAAAAAAAAAAAAAAAAAAAAAAAAAAAAAAAGAAAGAAAGAAACGTTTTCTGGGTAGGCCAGACAAAATTATTATAGACCACAGACAAACCCAGAAATAAAATAGAGACAAATTCAGAGACAGAATTTCAGGGGTTCCAGATATGTAGAAAAAGAAAAAGAAAATGAGGTCCTGTTACAAATAGTCATATATATATATCTATATATGTATATATACATTTGCTGCAGTGTAATAATACAAAAAAAAAAAGAAAAAGAAAAAGATATCTGAACGTATTATTATGCCAGGGCCATCTAATATCACTGCAAAACAATTGTGTAAGGAATTTTTCCTCTTTGGGTACAGTACGGATAAGTGACCAAACCAATGTGAATTATTAGTGAACTTCCTTTCAATTCAATGTAACATCAATTTCGCGTTTGTTTTCTAGTGCCATATGCATAGAAGTTCTCATTATTTGTGTTTCACAATTTTTGGGGGTTTTTTTTTCTTCGAAAATTTCTACGGTGATGTATTTCATCATACAGGAAAAAAAATGTCTAGGAGAATACAGTAAACAACCACCATCTAATTTAAATCATATAGTATGGTCAATAATTCTATGATCTAAGCAGAAGGATTCGTCGTTTTCATATACCGTTACGAGGAAAAATATATTTTTTTCCTAGTTAAAAAAAAATTTAACCGACCACATTTTTGCATCATTTGAACCGTCTAAACGTCTACAATACAACAATATGGTAATAAGTGAAGAGTTAATAGCTAGATTGGTATAAATTTATGTCCAACCATTTAGCATTGCTCTTATTCTATAGATATACGTGGCTTTGTTAGAGTAGTTAGGTAGGGATATTTTCTCTCATTGATAATGCAAATAGATAACTTAGAACAATTATCTTGGAGGTATAAATTATTGGTCACTACTTGCATGAAATTTTAAATTTCTCTAGTGAAGTACTAAAAATTGAGAGTCTTCATTTATGGCAAAGAAAACGAAGTACAATAAATAAAACAATTAAAAAAAAAAAGAGCTAAGCTATCCTTATCCATACTTTTAAATGCATAGAGATCTTTCAACTCATCCACTCTCAGTTATCTACCTATATTTACTCCCCCCCCAAATACTATTCTTTTTCATGGCCACATTGCTTCATGATTAGACTTCACCATGGTTGATAAAGACATTAAATTTATGGATAGGTCATGTGGTCCACATTCCACAAGTCATTTTAATCAACTTCAACTTCATATATATATATATATATATGTATATATATATATATATGCGTGTGTATATATTTGTGTGTGTGAAATTGAGTTTTGTAAATGGAAGAGGTGATGGCACCTGAGGACTTTATTGAAGTGATGTGTTTTTCATAGAAGAGACATGCAATTTGGTTTGGGAGATCAAACCCCAATGCAGGACCATTTCTTACTAACTTTCTCTATCAGTTAAGTTGGAAGCTAATTAATTCATGAAGTTGACGATATTTATCATGCTACATATAGGATATAATGATGCTATACATGACAATCTCTCAACTTCACCAAATCTTATAGGTTGAAGAGGGAAAAAAAATCTCTCTAAAAAAAGGTGGATAAATATTGTCCTAATGGTGACAAAAAGACTACAAATATCTTCTACACATAATTTGAACCAAATGAAGTTGAGTGTGTGTGTGCGTCTATGGTACTACTAAATACACACACATATATATATATATACTATATATATACTATATATATATATAGTACTACTATGGTTATATATCCTAGGACATACTGGAAATATCTCATATGCATTGTCCAAAATGGAAGCAAAAAGACTGCAAATATCTCGTGGCAAATTTTCAAATAAGATTATGTGAATTCCATTTTTGGATGTATATATGTGTAGTCTAAGTCTCAATTATAAAATAATGCATAAAAACTATCTCATCTGTTATCTCATTTTTGTTAGAACACGCAACTGATATTAAAAAAAAAAAATCATCCAATAATGACTGAAAAATAAAATGTAGGTAAATCCCAAAGTTGTAGGATGTATTGTAACTTTTATCCTAAATTTTGAACTTAGAAAACAAGTATGAATATAGGACTATATGGTTATATATTCTAGATAGACTAAAATATACATAACCACATGCACACTTTTTTTCTTGATCACTTTGATGACCCCTACAAAATAATTAGAAAAACAACTCTAGTTTTGACTTTTTTTAATAAATAATAATATCACCATCCACTTGCATTCCATGCTCCTATAAAACGCCATACAACATTACAAAGTTTTCCTTTTTTTGTACTAAAGATTGGATTCTTGAATTATTTGATTTTGGTTGTGGTGGAATACATATACAATATATGGGTATTTGACAAGTACTCCCTCTTACTATAAATATACATACATATATATATATATATACATATACACCTCAATTTTACGCAAACAAGAAAAATGAAAAATGAAAAATGGATAACATGAGTCGTATCTAGGCAGAAAAATGAAATCAATAATTATTCATGGAGATACTTGTAATAATGGAGATTCAACACAGTGTTAGTTTATGGTAGTCTAAATTACATTTATAACGGTACTGTTTTTAGGTATCTGAATTTGACATTATTTTTTTGTTTGTTTGAAAAACATGATCATGATTTGTGTTGAAAGATAGTTTAAAAAAAAAAAACATCCTTATAGTATTTGTCTCTTAACAGATGAGACATATGTACATTAAATAGATATATATATATATATATGTATATATATATATATATATATATATATATATATTGTGTGTTTACATACTTCCCAAGACAAAATCATGATGTGATCGACCTTGAAAGACTTCACTATGATCAGATGTTTTGTTTTGGATTCGAATATTCTAAATCACCTTAAATTTTTGGCATTATTATTTAGTAGTCATTCCAAATAAATACAATTGCTTAATTATTTGTAACATGGAATTTACTGGCATTTCCCTGCTTATTAGAAAATGATGGCTTGTCTATAGTAGCATGCATAATTAATTCATACTTTGAGTTGGGTGTTGAAAAAGAAAATTTCTGACATCACACTATAATTTACTTAAGACTGATAAACTTGAGTTTTATTACAGTATGATTATAATATATTGGACTCACAAACTCATATCATCTATAAGTGTTTGTTAAAATTTTTTTAAAAAATTGTGCTAGGATTGAAGGTGTGTAATAATATTACCAGAGTTGGTAAAGTAATATGGTATCGATATCATAGAAAGGGGTTCTAATCAATTAGTTTAAATTTGTGTGGTTACACAATTCAAAACAGCCTTTGCGTGTTAGGATTCAATACATTTTAGACTTAATATTCACGCCATAGAGTATCTCTAAAAAAACTCTTTAAATTTTAGTTAAAATGACTAAAAAGTTATTTTAACTAATAATTTTTAAGTAATTTACTCCAAACTCTCTATTTTAGTTAAATATAGATTATTTTAATATTTATTGAATTTAAGATATAAATAAAGTTATTGAATTTAAAAAAAAAAACCTTTGCATTTATTACGGTTGAAAAAATAAAATAATAGAAAAAGTTAAATGGCCAGCCTTTCCATGCTAGTTAAATTTTGCTAGTTTGAAAGACATTCTCTAAAATGGCTAACCATTTAACTAACGGTCCTAGTGGAGAAAAGTATAAAAAAAAAGGCTAAATCATTAACTATTTTAACTAAAAATATAAAATTGTTAACATGGTTGGAGTTGCTCTTAATACCGGTGTTAGTAAATGGAGAATTAGAAATTTAAAATGTTAGAATAATTGGTAACTGACATGCTCTATTGATGTTGGGCAAATAGGATCATAAATTTGCAAAATTATCCCAATCGTGATTCAATATTAACGCATATCGTTAATAGACGGAATGTGTCACTATTTCTACACAGAATGCACATCAAACTTATTGTTGGCTTGCAAGTTGGATCCTAAACTTTTGTTATTTTTACCATATAGGATCCTATAATTGGCGTCTATTAATAGATGTTCATTAATATTGATTGAGCTGTATCATGAAGAATTGTTAAATTTGCAATCCCAAGTGTCAAAGTTAAAA